CTTTCATCTTCTGCTAAGATGCTTGCAATGGTTTGGTCATCCTCTATGTCCGGAAAGCTGCTATTCAAACTCGAAGTCGAGCTCACACTTGCATTGCTATTGCTTTCAGTCATACTATGCCAACATCAACAAATCCAGCTAATTCTAACCTACAAAACAAGCAAAGGCGAGGCATCAAATCTGAATATCAATAGCAAATTCCAAATCTATAGATGCACAAATTTCTATAAAAGATGATGACAAACTTCAAAATTAAGAATATATGTTCCTCCGAGCAAACAGCATTCATTAATCCAAAGATTTTAACCAAACCATTCATCAATTTCACAAATTGAATACTAAAATAGCCACAGACTACTTTTCCGGCTAGTGTGCCCCCTAAGCCTTTCACCTAGCCTTCTAAATTAATCAAGGATCGCGTATCAAATTACCTTCTTTAGCTGAATCAATCTCCAAATAGAAACTAATCAAATCATTCTTCCCTTCCAATTTTCTCAGCAACCAAACATAGCAAAAAAATCAAACAAGAAAAACTCTAGACAACCAATTCAACAGCAAGAGAAATTCAAAAGCTCACACGAACCAGCCAAGAACAAACCTGAAACTCGAAACTTGAGGAAAGAACAAAGAAAACCCAGTATAAAACTTGAACTTTACCAGCTGATAAAACAGTTGAAATGAAAAGATTCAATTTTTTTAGTGAGTTTCAATCTTAGATGTTTCTTTTCAATTCCCAGAAACCAAACAAGCCAAAAAAAAAAAAATGAACCCAGTTGAATAAATGACATGAAAGGTCAAACTATATAATAGACATAAAGAAAAAGGCAATACTTTATTAGACAAAGGGAAAAGAGAAAGAATAATAAGTTACCAAGATATGAAACGGTGAAGAAGAAGGTTTTTGCTTGTGTTGGTGATAGACTCCAAGCCTTCAACTATTCTTTAGACAGATAAATATATTTATAGATAGATTACTAGATAAACGAGTCTTCTACTCAACGTTCTTCTCTTTTTCCCGACAAGAAACCAACACTTAGAAGGTAGTGTTCGATAGGTGTTACGAGTTGTATTTTATTTTAAAATATATTAAAAAAATATTTTTTTATTTTAAAATATTATTTTATCAAAATAATCTAAAAATACTAAAAAAAATCAATAAACTTATTAAAAAAACAAAAATGACAGAATAGGAAAATGCTGTAGGCAGATATTTTCACTGGCTTTTTTAATGTGTTCTGACTTGGAATACCAATGTCGTAAGTAACAAACAGTCCCTGGATCATGATCTTTTCTAAACAAAAAATAAAAAGAAGATGAAAAGTCTCTAGATCATTATTTATAAACCAATAACATTTTGACAATTGTAGCATGGATAACCAGAATTTTAAATTAAAAAATTCAAATAAAAATATATTTTTTAACTATCAGATGAATACTTTAAAGTTTATAATAAATATAATGATAATAGAATAAAAGAAAAGGAAACTTTATTAAAATGGTGTAGAAGGGAAGATAGGAAATAGGTATTTGATTCACTAGTGCATGAAATACTAGTGCAATGCTTACTCAAAAATCCATATGTTGACTGTTGTTGATTCACCTTTGAATCCTTGGATTCACTATTGAAGGATTAATTTAACTGGTAAATTGGTTAATAATTATGCTCTTCACATTATCATTTATATTAAAATATTAATCGGATGTAAAAAAACATTTTTATTAATGTATCAATACGAGTATAGCTAGATGGTCTATCTAATATTCATTGATTTTATCTTGGTATTTAAAAAACTACCTGAAGTTACTAATTTTTATTAAAAAAAAAGTTTAAAAAATCAAATTTATTGGAGTTTGATTTTAAATGGTAAATTGATAAATCAGCATGCCTCGAAACTAGATGTTTTCTGTCTTAATTTTCTGGCACTCGAGTTTCAATGCTAGGTCAAATAAATATATAGAGGGAGGGATTGGAGAGGATTGTCAACTAAGCATGCTGTGCCCATAACATGTGTTTATTTATGCTCTGTGATGCCCTAAATTCATGGACATTCTTTCCCTGCAAAATTAAACAAAGTCAAAGAAAAACCGAAAAAAGAATAAAGTCATGAGAATTTGGGTGATGGATGACTCTTTAGCTGAGTATTTTAGTGTAGCCGCACCAGGACTTTTGATTATTTGATTAAATCTTTTAAAATCATTAAACAATTGGGTTAATCCCTGTTAGCGGAGCTAATCGTCTCAAACACGAAACATTTGTTAAAAAATAAAGTTCATTGAATGACCCATTGATTGATTTTTTTTTAATATCATAAAAACGTTTCTGGACGCAATTAATCATAGGTGGATGGACATTATCAAAAAAATAAAATAAAAAACTGTCAACTCAAAATTCTTGGTCAAACATACACATACATGTGAGTTTGAAAAATACAAATGTTAGGATTTAGGATTTAAGCAAGAGGAGTGTCTTCTCCCACTAGTTGATTTATTACCACTTGATTATCATCAGTTAATCCACTAATTCAAAATTCAATAATTTTTAATCAAATGGTTAGATTGAATTACAAAATAGCTTTAATAAAAGAAAAAATCAAGAGAATAAGAACTAAATTAAAAAAAAAAAATTGATCTTCAACAAATGAGCAAGGAAAAACATTAAATATTAAAAAAATAAGGACCTTAATGATAAACAAAATATTTGAGAAATTGTAATGGAAGGACTAAATTGAAAAGAAAAATATTTCTATAAAAAAAATAAGAAATTAAAAGAATGAGGATTGAAATTAGGAACAAACCAAATTGATAAATTGTAATTGAAGGACTAAATTAAAAAAAACTTCTATAAAAAAAATAAGAAAAAAATAAGAAATTAAAATAATGAAGAGTAAAATTAAAAACAAAACAAAATGATAAATTATAATTAAAGGAATAAATTGAAGAAAAAAATACTTTTTTAGAAGGAATAAGAATGAAATAAGAAATTAAAATAATGAGGTATAAAACTATAAAAAGAAATAAGAATGAAATCAAGAATAAAAAAAAAGATGACTGAAATTAAAAATAAAACATATGAGAAAGTGTAATCGAAAAAATAAATTGCAAAATAAAAAAAAACATTTATAAAAAAAATAAGAACAAAATAAAAAATTAAAAGAATGAAAACTGAAATTGAAAAACAAAAAACAAAGAGGATAAATATATACTTTATTTGTCAAAAGAGAAAAAATTAAAAAATAAAAATAAAAATGATCGTTGGTTAAAATCTAATCATCATAAGCCCACATGCTTCATCTTGAATGAAAAACAATACAGTTGTGCATCTAAAAAGACTATAAAAAACTGAATTAGATCTGAATAATACAAACGTCACTTACTCACTTACACATTATCAATATGTGCTAGTAATTCTTTGATTTAAATATTTAAAAGTAAATATAAAAAATATCAAAACATCCCTTGTGACTTTGCTAATCAAACAAAATACTTGTGTAAAATTATAAAAATACCCTTAAATGCAATGCTATTTTTTATTTAATTCAAAATTAAATTCATAATTGTATTGTACACAAACAATGAAAAAATAAAAACCTTATCAGTGCCCCAATAATTTTTTGACCTTAAAGGCAAAAAAATATATTTATTTTGAAGAAACTTATAAGAAGTAAATAAAATCCTTAGTCATCCATTTTAAATTTCATTGATTTTAGAGATAAAAAAGCCTTTTTATTGTTTTTTAAACAAAAGCATACATCCCCATACAATTTTTTAATAACCAATAAAATAAAATAAAATAACAAACCCAGCGAGGAGTCCTAATTTTCCCCACACACAATAGTAAATAACTAATTAAACTGTAGCAATTTATAGTAAATTATTTTATTGCTACAATAAAAACACCATAAGATTTAGAGTATTTGTTAATATCACAAGACGAATGAGTCTAAAGACACGTAGTCAAACTGACCCCTGGCTCATGTAGCACGTGTGGTCCATCAAAAGTAATGGAAACCTAAAATGGGAATGCAAGGTGGCTGGGCATATGGGCGCCCGCAGTATATTTATTATCAAGGCGTGGCCGGTGTGACTACATGTGACTATAAATGTCAAATTCCATGCCTTTTTTGTCTTTCTACTGCTACAGGAGAGGGTATGCTACCTTATAACGTGGCGGTGAACACTTTTTAGTTGTCTCCCCTTTGCTTTATGACGAGTGTGTATTCTCTTCTAGAAACTTCACTTTCCTTTGGATTATTATTCTCTCCGTTACTCCTTTTTAGAATGTCAACAGGAATGAAGATCTAATTGACATTGAGTCGGGTCTGGATAATTTTATTTTTCTATCTTGATTTGGATTTAATCTTAAATATTATTTTTTAATATATTCTCTAGGTAAAAATTAGTAAAATTTAAATTTATAATTATTTAATCAGTAAAATTCTAATATTATATTAAAAAATTCTTTCAAATCTTAAATTTAAATAGTTAAATAAAACCTTAAAATATAATTTATATTATTCTCTAACAAAATCTAAAATACTCAAATTATATCACCACTCAAATTATATCACCACTAATATTATTACTTAATTATTAGCATTAGAGTATTGACTCATGTTGCACAATTGGTCGAGTCAAATTTAATGTGAAAAAATATTCAGATGTTACTAAATTTTTTTTAGTGAAAAAAATTAAATCATATGAAGATTGACTTAATATAACCTGGTTGATTGTGTTTTCAAAAGCAACTATTAAACTTGAAAAAAAATATTTT